CTCCTAAGTGCGAATTACACATTCTATCTGAATAATCTGCATTGCTCATTTCGCACGAAAGTCGATCATAATGTGTAGCAGAAGTGGTATCTGACTATTTTGAAGGAGTTTCGCTCGTCAATTGGTGTGCCAGCATCATGATGCAGTATTTATTGTTGGCACAATAGTTTATCAATGTGAGGCAAAAGAAATTACTCTCTCAACTCTCCACTTCTAATTCCTAGTCCAATAGCTCTAAAGTGCAAAATTTTCTTACTTTACATAATTGAACTCTAAAGCAGAAGGAATCTAAAATTTAAATGAATTCAAATAAAATTAAAATACAGGAAAATTTCTCGTCTTCTGTAGCACAGGTTGCAATAAACTGCAATTACACCGTAAAATTATTTCTATTGTATTGTATTGTATTGTATTGGAGTGTTGTATAAATTGTACACATATTCACTATAATTTATTGCGACCGAATTGAAACAAATTGAAATTTTTTACGTAGCAATTTGCCCTATTTTATTGAACATGAAATTATTTTATTGATCCTTAAAATTGGCATTTAATGATCAAATTAAGTAAAAATATTGCGATTTCGTGATGAATAAATTTAGTTTTTAACGCATCAAGAATTGCAATTTTTTTTCAATATTTTTGTTGCATTGTGCTACTTTAGTAGTACTTTGATGAAGACGCGATCTCAAACTCGGGTTTCACACGAGACCGTCCGAGGGACCTAGGACTTAAAAATGAATAAAGAAGTACGAGTGGGCACATCCAAACGAACAAAGGCGAATCCGAAAGTGCCCTCGAAGTAAATGGGTCCAGAAACTTGAAAAAGCGCCAATGCAAACGGACTAACAATCAGAGTTATTATCACCTTGATTTCCCGCTTTTGCGTCTATGATGTAAAGATTATGAACTTTGATTATATCCCCCGGATTATGAAATGAGAAAATAAAAAATAAACAAGCAGTTTTAACACAAAGACATTGAATATCGCGCCCAAATCGAAGAGTAAATTTGCTGAGAGTACCTTGATTCTAAAACCGAACAGAATAATAATTGATAATTCGATAGCAAAGTTTGGATGATTTCTTAGGCGCCAAGATAGCATTTTGCCTAAAACTTCCGCCATATTGGATTTTAAAATTTTGAAAATGTGACTGACAATTCGAATTCCTCGTCAGAAATAGTTCCTGATACCGAGTTTCACAGAAATCAATCGAACAAGAGCCGATATAGCATTTTAGACCACGACTGCCATCTTGCATTTTGGCATTTTGAAAATTTAAGCTGACATTCAAGATCCCCGTCAAAAAATGCACGTTGGCACTAAGTTTCAGAAAAATTGATAGAAAAGCAACCGCATATTGTACGATTTGTAGGACTCCATTCAGTGGTGAACGATACCAGTCAGTTTGCAGACGTTAGTGCGCCTACATTTTCGTTCGATACTGTGCAATACTCCTGTGGCGGAATAGTTGCTCAGAGCGCCTTCAAGAGTACCGCTTCGACATGACGGCAGAAGATCACGATTGCCGCCGAGCAGTTAGACATTTTTTCATCACCGAAGGTGAGTTTAAAAACCTCCTAATCTTAACTTGCGACGTTGCAAGTTTTTGCCTATTTTTTGAGGATAAAGCAATATGAAAACTAAAAAAATCTGCCGCGATTATTCCGAGATTTGATGAAACATATTTTTTTACTGTTTCATTCAAGTCAATTTGTATATGCTTTTGTCAATGACCTGGACATGAATTACTCAGGAGAGCGATTTTTGTCAAGTTAAGATGCAAAATCAAAATCTTTACTTAAATTTCCCACTCAAGACGATTCTTATCAAAAAGTCCATTTTAATGCTAATAAAAGATATCGACGGTGCAAGTCGGCAATCACATATCGATGGTGAAACTACCAAACCACGTATCTCGGTTTGCGACGTCGCAGACTTCCTGTCATACTTTATTTTTTAAATGAAAAATTACGTAATGTCCAGTCTTGAGAATTTCTGTGATTTTTCCTCTTCGTGCGAAGAAAATTCTGTGAAAATTTCAAGGAATGATATTGATTTGGTCTATTTCAAAAAAATAAAATGTGAGCGTAGATTTTTAAACACCGCAAACGAGATACGTGGTTTGGTAATTTCACCGTCGATATCTCGTTTGCGGTGTCTGAAAATCTCCGCCTCTATGTTATTTTTTTAAAGGAGAACAAATTGATAACATTCCTTGACGTTTTTGCAGAATTTTCTTCGCACAGAGAAGAAAAATCATGGCAATTTTAAAGAATTGCCGTTGAGTAGTTTTCCGTCTAACCGAGTTATGTGATTGCCGACTTGCACCGTCGATATAAAACTGCCTTGTGCATGAAACCCGAACTTGACAAATAAGGTCAAAACTTTAAACGAGATTTTCACCAAAATGACCATCTTTGAGCTGCAAATTTCAAACTATAAACACTACGATTAGGTTCGACATTTTTTTAGCCGAAATGCTTTTAAAAAACTTTTCAAAGGAATGGTTTAAGTTTTATGGCAGTCAGCACCGTGCTTCCTTTCCTCAGCGATGACCGGAAATTTGAAGAGTTTGATGAGCCAGCGAATGTCCGAAAAAGAAGAAACAACAAAGAAATAATAAAGTATGATAGGAAGTCGCAACGTCGGAAAAGGAGATATGCGGTTCCGCACTTTCATGGATATATTTGTTTCGCTCATCATTTGTTTACAAATCATTAAAAAGAGCACATGTGAAAAACTGTATGTTATATTATAATTTCCTCCGACTTGGTAAAACAGCTCACTGTGAGGTGCTGCACTAAATCGCCTTTGCGTAAAACGATATGACTGTGAGCATCTCTTCGGCAGTTGGCGATACTGGAATCGGCTAGGGATTTCCAAAGAATATTCTCATCATCACCGCCGCTATTGTGGCAAGTCCGTTACCTAAGCAATCGCCTACATTAATGAGGTGATACATTTGGATGTATTTATTCTAAAAGGAACTATGTGCATAGGTTTTGCGTGTAACATAGCTCCTTTTAGCATGAATGAGTCCATCTGATAATTGTTGCAGGTGTACGAAAATAAAACACCCACGACACGCTTTTTCTCGTACACATTGAACTTTTGACATCTTCTCCCTCGTTCGGAAGAAAAATAAACGGAAAATACATATGAAATAAACTGCGCTGTACAAACGATTTTATTCGACACGAATAGCACGTAATTTGTTTATAACTACAGTAATAATTGAAATAGCCTTCATGCACGCTGGGCTTGTCGATTTCCTTTTACATTTTTGCAGTGGTGAATGCATAGCTGAAGTGCGCTCCAGCTAGAATTTATTGTATTCAGCAAATGGGTGGTTTTTATACGAGGATTCAAAATAAACAAGTGGTTAGAAATGAAAACAAAAGAATATGAACTATGTAAAACGATAATCCGGATATCGGAACTTGGCTGTTTTGAAAACGCATTCAAATGCGGCGTGATACCTCAGGCATTCCGGAGAGTTCAAATAGTTGTATCATTGCGCCTTAGAAACTCGACAGAAGATTACAATGGAAATAGCCTTATACACGCTGGCTTTGTCGATTTCCTTTTACATCTTTGCAGTGGTGAATGCATAGCTAAAATGCGCTCCAGCCAGAAGTGTATTCGGCAAATGGGTGGTATTTATACGAGGATTCAAAATAAAGAAGTGGTTAGAAATGAAAACAAAAGAATATGAACTATGCAAAACGATAATCCGGATATCGGAACATGGCTGCTTTGAAAACGCCTTCAAATGCGGCGTGAGACTTCACGCATTCCGGAGAGTTCAAATAGTTGTATCATTGCGCCTTAAAAATGGGACGGAAGATTACAATGGAAACAGCCTTATACACGCTGGCTTTGTCAATTTCCTTTTACATTTTTGCAGTGGTGAATGCATAGATGAAATGCGCTCCAGCTAGAAGTGTATTCAGCAAATGGGTGGTTTTTATACGAGGATTCAAAATAAAGAAGTGGTTAGAAATGAAAACAAAAGAATATGAACAATGCAAAACAATAATCCGGATATCGGAACTTGGCTGTTTTGAAAACGCCTTCAAATGCGGCGTGATACCTTACGCATTCCGGAGAGTTAAAATAGTTGTATCATTGCGCCTTAGAAAGGCGACGGAAGATTACAATCGAAATAGCCTTATCCACGCTGGCTTTGTTGATTTCCTTTTACATTTTTGCAGTGGTGAATGCATAGCTGAAGTGCGCTCCAGCTAGAATTGTATTTACCAAATGGGTGGTTTTTATACGAGGATTCAAAATAAACAAGTGGTTAGAAATGAAAACAAAAGAATATGAACTATGTAAAACGATAATCCGGATTTCGGAACTTGGCCGTTTTGAAAACGCCTTCAAATGCGGCGTGATACCTTACGCATTCCGGAGAGTTCAAATAGTTGTATCATTGCGCCTTAGGAATGCGACGGAAGATTACAATTGAGGACACAGCACCAAGAACAGCCTATAGGCGTATAGGTCGTTATTACGCCCATCTGCTTTTCGGATTCTGCGTACCCTGGACTATGCTGTGGTAGCGATAGAATGTAGGTAGGTAACGGCTCGAGGTCGAAAAACCTTTTTTTTCCGAGTTATGTCAGGCCACTGGCTCGATGGGTGCAAGAACGACCTATGAGCGGGCCTATATAAACTTAAGGTCCTATAAGGCGCTAGTTACCCTTTTCTTTACTCACTATCGATTTTCTGTCATTTTGCGTTAATCATGCTTGATTAAAATGATTTATACTTCATATTGCCACCAAAATGACCGTTGGGCGTAATAATGGCCTAAATACCGCTTTTTTAATTAAATCAAATATATTAGAGTGTAAACCCAAAATGTATCGCAAAATCTACTCGGCATCCTTCAATAGATGGGTTAGGTCACCAAAAAACACCAAAACAGGGTACCTGCATAGAAAAGTCTGCGCAGTCTTACATCAGAAACAAAACTTTAAATGCGTTTTTCTCAAAACGCGGTTTCAAGTTATAGGCTGTTCTTGGTGCGGTGTCCTCAATTTTACCATGCTTGCATGACATTGTCTGAGAACAATCAATTTTTTTAAAGCATAAGGTGGTAAAAGAGTGCTAGGTTCACACTACTTTCCGGGGAAATCAAGGCCAAAAAAATTTTGTCTCTAATTGAAATTTTTAGCCCTGTTTTCCCTCGAAAATAGCATGGACCCAGCACTATCTTACCACCTTGTCACATACAGTTCGGACCAAGTATCCTCGTGTTATTTTCTTGTTTTATATTTAAAAATACTTGAAGGTCTCATATTTTTCCTCTTTTTTTTCAAAGTGACATACTGTTGTGTTTTATCATTCAAAAACAAATACACCAAGTTTAGACAGATGATTGCAGACATTGTCACCGAGCAATTTTTTGAAGAGAGCTAGAATGGTGAGGGTGAGGAGGAAACCCAACTCGTGATAAATTCCGAAGAGAACTTCCAACATCTCTTTGGAGAAAGGCCCCGGAGTCAGGTCGAGCGGGAAGAGGAGGATCTCTGGAAATGGTAGCGATCTAGAGGCGCCCAAAGTCACAAGTCCACACAGGTAGTAGATGCCGAACGCAGCGAAAGGGAGGACCTTCAAAAACTGCTCTTCTAAATCGGTTTTCTTCATTTTGTACGATTCCGCCTGTGCGCCTTTTCCGTTTGAGACAACCTCTGGAAACAAAGCAACGCACTATTATTGCAACTAGCAATTCTTGAAAGTTGGCAACACTGTTTTCTTCCACTTAAACGATTGAATTAAACAATCGATCCCTGATATAGCAGCTTACCTCACCAAAAATCAATATTTTTAATGGATTTAAATGCAGGAATAATAGTGACCAGTGGCGTGGCGTGAATTGCGATATATCGATTTTTATGACATTTAAACCTATGGAAAAGTATCGATAGACAGGCTGTTCGCGAACAGCGAACACCTTAATAATCGATTCTTTACCATAGGTTTAAATAGCATAACATTCGATTCATCGTTATTCACGCCACGCCACTGATAGTGACGCCAACTTTCAAGAATCGGCACTGCTGATGATGTACGGTACTCTCATAATTTTTACTCAGGGATCGAGAAATAACCACAATTTTTAAGGGGCTTAATTTGGGAAAGGTTTTATCCAAATTTACTTCGGTCAAAATACATTTATTGAGCATGTGACCCTCGAGTTACGAAATTCAACGAGGTTTGTGGATACAAAGAGGACCTAATCAGGTTTCCTTCTACAAGCCTATCCCTAAAAACTTTGACTTTTTTCGATCCGTTGGCGTTTCTTGTCTCCTCCACATAAAGTGTTAAAGTGATTTAATTATGTCCAAAAAGTTAAAATTATGAAAAATGAATACATTTAATAAGAAATGAAAATACTAAATTTTCACCACCAATTAAGTGTGTTCGATGGTTTGGTTTACGGGTGTACATTTTCAAGCGCATACAATTTTGCCTAGACTCAGTATTGAAGGGGTTTTGTCGGTCAGATGCGAGTCCTGTTCCACGAGAACGAAGCGACGCGACGAACGCGGGACGCTGCGCGTCGACTGATTTTGAGCCAACCATAATCTCGCGCCCATTCGACTCGCTTATATATAGTTTGTTATATGTTTAGACATTCAGCGTCACAGGCTATTAACGTCTTTACAGGGAATTTTGAAAATGGGAGTATACACGAAAATTTAGATTTTTAAATTAAGATAGGTGAAGAGTTTCAGAATTTTGGTAGTAACATTGGGTTCATCGCATGTAAGTGGGTTTGTATATACTTCCCAGAGATGGTTACAGATTTTATACACCGCAAGAAATTGTGCTTCTATGGGCCTTGCATGTGTATACTTGAAATAACAGCTGACTAAAGGACGGAATAATCACAGATAGGATTTGTTGGACCGAGTTTCAAAGAAACACCCCAAGTTATATCAAATTTTACATACATACATAAAGTCGCGATTATAGCGCCGCCTCGCGCTCTGCGACGCCCAATCGCCATTGCCCCCTATCCTCCCAGAGATCATCAGGCAATTGGCACCTTCTGATCTCCTCCTCCACCCCTTGTCGCCAACCTTTCACAGGACGTCCACGCCGTCGCCTTCCGGGAGGAACCCAATCGAAGACCTGCTTGGGCAACCGATCATCTGCCATCCTTCGCACATGTCCATACCAGACCAACTGCTTGGACCTGATATCGTGCACGATGTCCTTTTCCACACCCATTATCTCGCGTACCCTTTCATTGCGGATACGCTCTCTTCTCGATATCCCAGCAGACCTTCGCCAAAAGTCCATCTCGGTTGCCCTAAGCATGTCTTCAGTTCTTTTCTTAAGTTGCCAGACCTCACTCCCGTAAGTTACGATACTCTTCACGATGACGTTGTAAATTTTCCTTTTGGTCTCCTTGGAGATACTCTGGTCCCAGAGAACCCCATTTAGCATCGCGATAGCTTTCCTGCCTTGCACATTCCGATCTTTAATGGCCCGATCCAAATTTCCGTCCTTAGTTAACCGAACTCCGAGATATTTATACTCTTCACAGTCCAGGATCTTCCGGCCATCCTCCAGTTCAATGCTTTGCTGATCACCACCGATAACCAACTTCTCCGTCTTAACCACATTTACTTCCATTCCCCACTTTCGGTATACTTCCACTAGCTTCCGCGTCATGTAATTCGCATCTTCTTCGTCCTGAGCTATTACCACCTGATCATCAGCAAAGCACAGAGTATAAAGGGTGCCATCTTCACGTAGCGGGACGCCCATTCCCGAAAAGCATCTTTTCCATTCCTTTAAAACTTCTTCCAGGTACACTTTAAATAAGGTTGGCGACAAACAACACCCTTGTTTCAGTCCTTTAGTAATTAAAAACCCCAACGATAACTCCCCATGCGATTTAACCCTAGAGAAAGCCCCACCATAAAATTCCTTAATAGCACTAATTAGTCCCCCACTAAAACCCCTTTTGTTCAAGGCTTCCCAAAGTTTCATCAATGGCACACTATCGTAAGCTTTCTGGAGATCCACAAACACTAGATGTAATTCCTGGCCAACTCCCTTCTTTTTCTCTATGACGTGGATGATGGTAAATAAGTGATCAATCGTTGACCGACCGGCTCTGAAACCTGCTTGCTCTTCCGCTTCATGTTCTTTCCACTCCTCTTCAATTTTTGCTTTCAAGATTTTTCCATACACTTTGCTCAGGGTACCTGCAACCGACAGTCCTCTATAGTTATCACACTCATCTTTTCTACCCTTCTTCTTGTATATAGGTGACACCCAAGACTCTTTCCATTCTGTCGGTACCTTTCCACCGTCCAAGCAATCTTGCATCAGGTATCTCAACCGTTGAAACAGCTTGCAGGTTCCACACTTGATCAACTCAGCAGGGATATTTCCCGGACCTGGAGCTTTATCGTTCTTCAGCTCTCGTACGGCCTTTACCACGTCCTCCATATGGATCTCCAAGTTATGATTATCGTTAGTATACTCCAAGCTTACGCCTCCATCTTGAAATTCAGGTCGCCTTTCTGTCAGTAAATTTTTAAAATACCCCTCCAGTTTATCAATGGATATCGGAGATATTAAGTCACGCTTCATGTCCCTTCGCAGCCCTTTCAGCAACTTCCAGCTCTCAGTGCTTTTCCTTCCTCCTATGTACGTGTCTATTTTGTTACAGCTCCTCTCCCAAGATTCGTTCTTTTTCTTGGTTATGAGCCTTCGTACCTGCGTCTGAGCTTTTTTATACGCCTCTTTGTCTTCTGTTTTTTTAGAGGAAAGGAACTGATGATATTTTTTCCGTTTCTCCTGAATCTCCTTCTCAATTTCTTCGTCCCACCAGTAAGGTTTTTCGCTAACTTTCCTATCATCAGCGACACCAAGAGCTTCCATTGCTGCCGAGTGAATGCAATCCTTCAGGAACTGATACTGCTGTTCGGTATCACCGTCCCTTGATTCGCCCAACTTCTCATCCAAGCGCTTTCCATATAAAGCCCTTACACTTGGATGCTGCAAGCTGTCAATGTTATAGTTCACAAACTTGACACGATCTTTTTGTTGGTGAACTTCTTCCTGTGCTTGCCTGGTCTCCTGGCTCCCTTTCACTGGGAAAGCTATTTTTGCCCCGAGGAAATAATGATCACTGCCGCAGGAAAGACCTCTCCACACTCTAACTTGCTGAATCTTCATTCCCGTGTCTTGTCTGACAACCACATAATCAATGATTGATTTCAATCCGCGAGTAGACTGAACCCAAGTAAATTTATGGATATCCTTGTGTTGGTAGAACCCATTGAGCACCTTCATGTCCCTTTGCTCACATACGTCAATGATACGGGCTCCGTTATCATTTAGTGCCGCCTCTCCGAAAGGGCCGACGATCTTACTTTTAATTTGACGTCCTATTCTACCATTGAGATCTCCCAACACAATGATTTCCCTCCTGGATCCAATCTTACCAATTTCCTCGTTCAATTCTTCGAAAAATTGGTCCTTCACTGCGACAGTGGAATCATCGTTGACTCCATACACTCCCAAAATGGTGATTTTATGGCCAAACACTGTCATATTCATCTTTATCATTCGGGGGTTAACAGCTTCCCATGTAGTGATGCACTTCCGTATGCTCTTGCGAATAAGAATTGCAACACCCTGTTGAGCTCGCTGATCTTTTTCCACGCCACTATAAAACAAATCGTATTCCTTTACACTTACAGAGCCTTGTCCTTTCTTCTTCGTTTCTGTTAATACCGTGACATCAAATCCGTGACTCCCTATCTCCGATACCACTTCCGTCATTTTCGTAGAAATTCCTTGTACGTTCCATGTTCCAAAAACCATCATCCGTTTACGTAATTTTTTCCGATAAATCCGTTTATTTCCATTTGTACCGAGGCAATTGTTATTGGGTCTTTTAACAGTATTCCTTTTTCCGAGTATCGGGGAGTTAGCCCGATGACTCAACCCCCAACCTGGAGGACCGGGGTTTGATTTCGGAGTTTCCTCTCCTAGACAGGTTGCTTCCACTACAGCTGAGAGCCCTGTCTGCCCTTCCAATGGGTGGTTCATACGCCTTGAAGCCGGTGACCATCTCCACTACCCCATGAGGCAGGGGTTACCAGCTGGGGTCCGCAGGATTGCTAAACCTGTGACATCAGTCCCCCATACGGGCCATCAAATACGGGGTGTATATCAAATTTTAACCTGGAGGAATTTCAGGTTCATACACCTGCAGGACTCGATGTTATAAGGGATGCGGACTAGCTGACCTCTAAACTACTCCCAACAATTTTTTTCTTTCTAAAATGTTACTTATTTCCGTTCAACTGTGTTAAATTGAATAAAACAAAACAACAATTTGTTAATCGACAATTCGCCTTACCTGAAGATGACGAGATATTTCGAGTTATTTTTGAGGCGATAATACTGCCGGTGTTCATGATAATAACGATATGTAAAGGGAAAGCGACGACCGTGAAAATGGCCACGCAAAGTTTACCTGGAGTTGTGGTCGGAATTGGCAGTTGCCTCAGCCCTGTAAATCAGACAATACAAAAATTCTTGCTTAAACATATTGGTCATAATAAAGTACTAATCTGAGCCATAAAAATTATCAGTTCTCTGTCCACATCGGCAGTGCCTAAATATTCTAAAAGGTTCCATTGGATCATAATCATCACCATCACAAAACAAGGAGAAAAAAGAAAAAGTACTGACTGTTTAACATAAGTTAAACATTTTTGTGAACCATGTATTTGGAAATAGAAGAAAAATGAAATTGTCATGCCTACGATACTACTACTCATGTGTATTTCCTATATATTTTCTTTAGATACTTTTGTAATTTGCTATTTGATGAGAATTTCTCAGGCGGCCGTTCATAAACTACGACGCCCTATAATTCTGAAGTTTAGACCTTCTCTCTCGGATGTCTCTGATCCTATCAAGTTCAATTTCAATAATTGTGTTGGCAGTACGAGCACTTTGGGAGCATGAATAGTTACGCTTAGTAGTTTTGTCACTTTCGCTTAGTCCCGGCAAGGAACACACGTAAATTACTCTCTTACTACTCTGATGTAGGTACTTTCTTTACTAAGGATCTCTCAATCAGTCAAGTTCGCCTTCAATAACCGTGACAGCAATATATCTGGCTTGGGAGTGCGAATAGTTGCGCGTTGTAGATTTATCATTTTCCCTCAGTTCGGCTAGGATCACACTAAAAATTTCCTGCGTATTTCATTCCCATTTGACCCGAAAGTGTTATCACCTGACTATGTAATTCCAAAAATTGTGTATAAGACATTTTCATTCTTAACATTTTTTAACCGTCATGAATTGTTTGTGATTATTGAACTCTCTACGTCTCGCGGCAATATTTGATCATATCGACTTTGTCATATTCCCTCCCTCCTCGCTCGTTACGTAGTGCCCGTCACGCGCTGCACTAGATTTCCTGCCTTCTCTCATTGTTTGACGTAATTAATAAACGGTTCCGGCATGGGACTTTGATATAGAAACAGATTCCTGTAAAATCCCTCCTATGGGCGGATCCAGGCACTTCGAACGGGAGGAGAAGAGGGGGGGAGGGTGTCCAGGTAGCTTTCCCCAGAAAATGTTCGAAAGTTTAAAGCATCTAATATGCAGCTTGAGTCCAATTCATCATGAATAATTACCACATCAGAGCACGCCCTTCCTTCTTTTGGTTCTTATTTCCCCTGTTTCTTCCCTCTTTCTTTCCTTCCTTTTTCCCCCTTCCTTTTTCGGGTGAAAAGGGGGGCGTACGCCCCCTACGCCCCCCCTTTAGGATCGGCCTATGTTCCTTCTAATTTCACTTTGAAGGCTACTCACCGAACGTTGTCAAAAATGTGTAAAAGAACAGGAGGCAATCGCTTAGACTCCAAGTAGTCTGTGATCCAGTGCTCATGTTAAATTGAACCAGGATTTCTTGATGTTTGTTTACATACTTTTTAATCGTCTGAAGCCAAACAGATTCCTGAGGGATTACTTTTCTTAGATCAGTAGCAAGTTCAACCATCAAATCATTCTCCCGCCTTTTGAAGTTATCTCTCTGATAAAATAGAAAATCATAATGAGGAGAGGATACAATACCGGGACCTGAAAATGTTGATAGTAACATTTTTAAATCCCGGTTTTTTACCCTCGCCTATGGTTCTATTGAACACTTCAAAGGTATTGGAGCTCCTCTAATACTTCTGAAAACAATGACTTCGTTCTTATTTTCCTTTTTTTAGGAATCCATCACATGGTAGATTCAACGTGTGTCTTATATCAGCTGGACTTCTCCTCACATCAATTGGATCTCCACTCATATTAATTTATCAAAAAACGAGTAGAGAAATTGTACCTACTAATATTATTCAACTTTATTCTCTTGTATTATGGAGATTTCGCTGATATAAGTGGTGACCCATCTGATATCAGCAGACTTTTTAGGTACATATTATTCCTTACCTTTCATTTTCAGTAGGGTGGTATCTGTTATATTTCACTATGGAATAATAAGTTCCACAGCGGGCTGATTATTGAAATTGATGGACAAAGCGATAGACAAAGAAAACACAGGGACCATGGAGCGATCCTATTGGTTGAAACGAGTGATTGTCATGGACTAAGGGGGACTAACTATAGGACTAAGGTTTATAGGACTAGGATTATAGACTAACTATAGGATCTCCCGTGGGTTGCTGATAGTTAGTCTATTACCTACCTCCTTTGTCCACTGCAAGTTGCACCGGATGTGAGCTCTTGTGCGAAATGAATAGTCATATAGTTCATGAAAATTTACAGGCATGAATAACAACATTTTATATATTTTTGCAGTCTGCAACCACCCGTTTCCACCAGTATATGCTCGCTTTATTTCCCATTTGTCTTCTTTGTGTATAGCTTTGTCTATGAATTTCACTAATCAGCCCGCAGTGTCAGCAATAATATTTGTCGAAATTCCCTCCCTTCTATTGTTCAAAAATGTAGTTCACTGCTTTTGTATGGTCACCACTCGAATTTCTATTTATCCAGTAATGCCGCTATGAGCAGAGCAATATATTGAAAAAATGAGAGAGAAAACTAACCTGACATTTTCCTTGAGGTTCTTCCGCCACATTCAGTACGAGTGCGTTCAAGAAAGTCCACAAACAGAGGATAATGGTGAGTCCGCAAAGAGATATAGTCCATCTTGTGAGCAAATTTGTGCAGCTTTCTGGTGACGCCAAAATTTTTGGAAAGCACCGCAAGTGCCGTGTGATAGACGGATGAGTTTGACTTTGAACTGTTTGGCACAGTTTCGCTCCTGATCATAGTAAATCCAGATTTGAAGCGATCAGTCGGGTTCGATATTTGTAACAGGACCTCAAATATATTCTTAGGCACTCGATTAAAATAACTCACTCTCACAAATTTCGTTTTAAAAGCGCCAGCAGTAAATTTTAATAATTGGGTATAACGTTATTTTTTGAGGAGCGTTCATTGCATTTCAAGGAAATTTTAGCTAAATGCACAGACAGTCCAAAATGTTTCACAGAATTTTTTTACCCTTTTTGACTTACCTGTAGCGAGCAATTGACCAACCAAGAAAGTTTAAGAAAGCCCCCCCTCAAAAAAAAATGTTCTAAAAAGGTATGGTCGGCCATTTAATATTGTTCACTGATTGAATGGTTGAGAACGACATTGAGTACAAAGTAGCAATACACACTTTGTTTTATTTTCTTTTTAAAGATAATTTTAACTATAGAAACGCTTGATTCTTCTCGTGGGTTGAATTCGAAATAAGGTTCCCTAAGTCTGCCTTCAACGGCAAACTGTAACTCAGAAAATTGTACAGATTTCATTTTTCGAGTTCCGCTGGAGGGAAAGTTTAGTGTTTCTTTTGATGATGGACTGAAGTTTCAAAAGTCCGTTCAAAGATTCTTTAGTCAATGAACGAAAAGGCTTTTCTCCAACATCAACCATAATCAATTGAGCAAAATTATTTCACTACTTGTTATTTTTTCCTCCGTTATTTTTTTGCGTGTACTTATAGTTTTAAGCGCAGTTACACTCGGATTTTTTGAGCAAAATTTATCGTGCAAGAGAGGGTGGATGATCTCAGTATCTTCTCTAGTACGAATTGTTATAACAAAATTGCATGAATTACCTTGCGTGTGATGGATATCTATTCGCCGGGTGACGTGGGTTGAGGAGATGTCAGAGTGCCCGTTTGGTATTTCACTGCTGAAGCGGACGTAATTTTCAGACTTCTTTGAGTTTTTCAAAAAGGACTCTTTCTCTGGATGCTTATTCTTTAGTAAGAGGAAAGAAAAATACTGAGAGGATAGTTTTCAACAAAATAACTTATAGAGAACTAAAAAAACATTGTTTCAATATTTAATCATGTGAAATTTCATTTTTATTAAAACATTTTTCTCAACTTTAAACAAATATCGGTAACTAGACTGGGCACATTAACTTTGGAGAAAATGAGAAGAGTTAAAAACAGTTGGCACGTACTGTGCTAAAAAGATTTCAATTGATTATTGTCTAATAATACCATTTAAATTGGTTTCTTTCAGATAAATTATGAACATTATGATGAGTATCATTAGCTTTAAAAATGCATTCAATAATGACGAAGGAAAGAAACGAAATTTCATGGAATTTACTTTTATTTGTTGCAGGTAGAACACAGAGGTTGATAACAATGACTTCATTTGTAAAAAGCAAATCGTCGCTATTAGCGCCTTCAAATTGGAGGCTAGGCCAAAGTACAAACACAAAACGTTGTCTCCGTATGTATCCAGTAAATGGTATGTTAACTTATTGTTAGCTGCAACTTGCATTATCATCGGCAAACCTCTTCAAAGTACGCTGAATCGGCAGATAGGTCACTAGAGGATTCAAACGCCCCTCTAATTAGCCATGCTCAGATGGTGGAGACGTGGTCGGTAGGAAGAAAGGGTAAAAAACACCATATATTTAGACCGAAAACTTCGGTTTGTCCAAGATCTCCACTGAAAGTGGCCTCTTAAATCCGGCCAAGGAAAAGGGGATAGAAATTAACGTTGAAGTATAGTGACGGTCTTTCGTCTGGGAAAGGCCATAGTTTTCTACTCCTTAAATTTGTTTTTTTCAGTCTATAAGAATTAATTTTAATAATCAACATAGAAACTCACCATGTATTCAATAATTCCGTCAGTCATCCTTTCTTTGCTCTTGAAGTTTTTCCGCCATGGTTTTTTAAGGTTTATCGAAACACTCGTGATTCGGTGGAGCCTTTGCAAAGGACACTTGGTATTGGGTGGTCGTTTGGAACTACTCTTGTTCTTGTTGACGCCATTCGAGCTAAGATGTGTGAGCTTTTGACTGACGGATGTGCGAAAAGACCGCACGACCTTGGTACTTGAAGACGGATAAGTTGTGGGAGGACTGTTTGTGGATGTCTCAACTGGGTAGAGAGGTGAGACTTCGGGTTGTCTATACAGTGATGAAATCTCCTTTCGCTCCATTCATACTACAGTCATAATATTCGAATCTATTGAGCTAGGTAATTTTAGCGAGGAGAATTTGGATTGTATTAGTAAGGAAAGAATCCTGAGCAAAGGTTCGCCTAATTTCTTTCTTATCGAGATCACACCACTATCATACAGCCGGTATGAACATTATGCCAGTGAAAAGTTTTGGTGGTACCTATGTGATAAAGGTAAAGTGAAAATCTTTTACCTGATTTTCACTGACAGGTTTGTCACTCTCTAAATGCATCGCATAAATCGTTAATCGATTATTTAAAATAGATTTGCGATTAAATATATTCCTGAGTTTCGTTTTAAGGCAAGATTTACCTTTGGTTAAAATGAAATTTCTGGCGATTTTATTTACTCGTGTAATTCTGAAGAAGGCGACCAAAGAAAATCAATATTTGTTGGTTACCAGTCCAGATAAAAGGCGACTCCTGCTTCAACCGTTCTTACGTATCAGATTTTTTTTTTTTAAAATACGGATCTTGTACTATAATGTTTTCTGCGATCAAAATTCAAGTTATTTATGTTAATCACGTGTGCTTGGTAATAAATAAATTAGGCACGATTGTAAATTTCTACGTATTTTAGCACAACCAAAAAGTTTTTCTTTACCCGAGGATTTCTAATCATACAGATTTTAAAATAACTCCACTTTGATGAAACAATTAGTTCACTTGCCGAAATACAGTTATTGATGAGAGAGTGATATTTTTTATATTTTGAAGCTTACATTTTTGCTCTTATCGAACATAGTCTTATGTGCTGAGTTAAGAAGCGTCTTTTGACTTTTCACAGATCACTGTCACCTTTTAGCGAAAAACTTTTTAAGAGTTATTGCTCCAAACTGTAAAAATGCACCAATTTTTAGATATGGAAATTATATTCAATCACACTATCACTCTTTTCATCTCAAAATCTGCCGCTTTTGCTAAAAATTCACGGAATGGAATAAGGAAGAACTTGGGAATAAAGAAATTAGATGAAAATGAAGGGCGAGAAGAAATCCGAGGCACAAAGCAGCTCGGCTAGACTTTCACGAATTGAGCTTTCAGGGTAGTTGTCCCGAACGAACTGCAATGAACTTTGACCGAGCTTTGGCGCAAGGCTTCTTCCGTGCAACGGAGCTCGGAGCTTCTGCCATGAGGTGCCACTCAGAAAGTCATAACTCGGCAAATTTAATCAGCAGTGCACCGATACTCTTGTTTGCTCTTGCCTCCAGTGAGTGAACGACAAAAATGCCTCGAACTTTGCACTCAGGGCAATGAACTTTCATATAAACTTGCAGAGCTTAAATGCAGAGATGTTCGATGCCATGCAGGTGAATAGGGCAATGCCCTACTAAAGTTCCTCTCGAATGGCTCTTTCATGCGTACCGCTGTGTTCTAATCATACATTTTTTTCTGCCCCCCTTTCTCTTTATCCTATCTTTGCAAATTGAAATAATTATTTAAATTAGAGCTGAAGCATTTTAAATCTTGTGGCCTGTTTAAATATCGGGAAGGACACCGGATGTGAGCTCTTGTGCAAAATTAACGGTCATATAGTTCATGGAAATTTACGTGCATGAATAACAACATTTTATATATTTTTCTCTGATCATGTCTCAAAATAATTTTCTACCGAACTAAAACAGGCCTAAAACAACTTAAAACAGGCTGAAATTGCGTTGAAAGTGATTGAAATTTGCAATTTTGTTTCATCCGAGACTACCAGGGAAAGACTCCTGGCTGACCTCTCAACCAGGACTAGAATTACATTTTTAGTGCCTTAGGTTGAACCAAGGTTAGGGCCCTAAAAGTAAGTAATCTCAGGTGGGAGTGGGGAGTCCTAGACCTCCCCCTCCCTTAAAAAAAGAAGGATGGTAGGCGAATAAGATATCTGAAAGAATGAGTCGAACCCACCTTAAATAAACAAGATTTTTGATATTTTTGAGCTACCAATTGCAAAAATATTGACGCTGGATGAACCCGGATTTGGAAAATAAAAAGTTACAAAAGACACAGGGTGTAATTTTTAATGCACGCAGGTACTGACGTTTTCGAATGACGTCTAAAAATTGTGCGCCCCTCAGAATGTTGCGTCCTCAGCTAGGCTATAGCTCAAGTAGCCTAATTGCAAATGTGGCCCTGAATTCTGTAAGCTCATCTGATCAGTTCGCCTTCAAAAATTTGACAGGCAATTTCAGCGTCTTCGGTACAGTAATAGTTGCTTGTACGGATTTGAGTATGCTCATTTGACTCTAGCGAGTAGGGGAAATGAAGTTACTAATATTTATTGTACCTTAAATTTACTCTGACCAATTTGCTTTCCAAATATGACAATCAATATGAGCGCCTTCGGAACAGTAATAGTTGTTTATACCAGTTTGAGCATGTCCATTTAAAGTTTTTGCAGGAGGAGGACATGAGCACTGTGAATAAAAAGTATTCAACGCTAAATAAGTTTACGCACTTTTAGATAGCGATAGAAGATCCGCCATATTGATTCTTCCATTCACTTTACAAATAAAATGACGTCAGACGATCTTCTGTCGCAGTCTAGGAGTGCGTAAACTTATTTGCCGTCGACTCTACTTTACTCATAGTGCTTTCATGGCCGGTTTTACATTTCTAGGGCCCAAGGTTGAACTTAGTTGGTGCCCTAAAATTAGGCGCTCTCGGAGGGGGGAGATGCGTCCCAGACCTCCTCCTTCACCCTCCCCCGGGAAAGAAGGAATGGGTCGGATGCTAGAGAAAATTTTTTAGATTTACCTTTAAAATATCATGATTTTAAACATTTTTGAGATACCAATTAAGAAAGGATTGACGTCAGAAAAAACCTGGAGCTGGAAATTGAAAAGTGACAAAAAACACAAAGAATACATTTTGAATACTCAAGGACTGACGCTTTGGAATGAAGTCTCAAAAATGTTGCGCCCCTCAGAATGTTACGCCCTTAAGCTGTGGTCTATGCAGCCTGATTTTAAAATCCACCCTGCTCTCAACCTTCCTCCCACACCCAAATGAAACCCTTTAGATGTTCCTATCACTTGTCCTCTCGGTCCAGTCCTCCCTTGTATTGCACTGAACCTGCCATACGTGGACCAACTTTAACAGAGAAGTACCAGGCCGTATTTGGGAAAAATTGAGTTGGAAAAATTGTAAATTTTCATCTGTTAAATACTCAAAATCAAGAGAAAATATTTTGAATATGAAAATAGTCTCTAAACTTTGTCCTCAGCACTAAGTCTTTTGGAAGAAAGAAATTTCAAATCTCCTTCTTTTAGTTTTAACTTCATGCGACTTGATATGCTTCTATTAAAGTGGGCCCGTTTCTCCTACAAATAGTAGCAATACTCAATACCTATTCCAAAAATTACGGCTTTTCAACAAGCATGGAAGTATTAGAACTTTCAGAGTATTTAGTAGTGGCGGGAGGAGCGAATTTCTCGGCGTGACGGGTTCGTCGCAAAATTTTGGTGGATAAGCAACAACTGCTTCTTCCAGAAAATCTTCCTAATTAAGAACTACGAACTTAATTAAAACAATAAATATCTCAGAATTCTTTGAGACAGTAATTAATGTATTAATGTGACAGTAATAAAATTATGTTTAAAAAAATAACATATCAACATAGAAGAAAGAGAGAAAGAAATAGTAGATTCTGCTTTACGGAATGAATGTTAATATAATATAAATGACAATGAACTTAAGACTATATTTGCTGAGCTTAGGAATTTTATAAAAATGGTTCAAAAATTCAAATTACAAATTGACAGCAGGGCCGGATGTGGGGGGTGGCCACGTGGGCCAAATTTAGGGGGCGGGAAATTTTGCAATTTTTTTAAATGTAGCTATAAAGAAAAATCGGATTCAGAAGAAAAATTACAAACGAGAAAAAGTGACCAAATCTCTTATTTCTTAAGAGTATATCTCTAATTTTGTCGTTTTTCTGTGATACAATAGACAGCACCTTTAATTAGTCGAGTTAAGACTAAGAGAGTAACCGAACACGGAATTTCGCCTGGAACGGCGCGGCGCAGAGAACAATGATGACGAGAACTTGAGATGAAAAGGAGAAACACTCGGCGCGGCGGTCGGCATGGAAGATATATTAGCGCCTTCAAGACTGCATGAATACTTCACGCATTGCGCACAGCGCGGTCGCTGCGGTCAGCAGCGGGCGGCGTGAAACGCATAGCGCCTACAAGACTGCATGAATACTTCACGCATTGCGTCTTACACAGTGCGTGCACGCCGTGAAGCAGCGGTCGGCGTGGGACGCATAGTGCATACAAGACTGTGAGAAAGCTTCACGCATTGCGCCAAAACACAGTGCAGTCAGCGCGGCGGCGGAAGTTAAAATGATTAAACTATACATTTATGTTTGTTCTTTCATATTTTTTTCGTTCATTTCATACAAATGGAGGGACTCGTCCGCACAGAGATAGGTTTACGGGACTTAACTTTCGCGACAAGTTCCGTGAACTTTTGCCAGTATTGTTGACAAGGCTATCGCAAAAAATGTTTCCAACACGAGTAAACGCGTCTTATGCACCCCTCCCCCTCTGGCACGTTCATTTGAAGGTTTCTACTGATGTTTCAAAATGAATGAGAGGGGGGCGGCAAAATACAGGCGGCCAATGGCGGCAAGTAAGTAAATCCGGCCCTGATTGACAGTTGAGGAAAAAAATGCTATACTATAAAGCAATTTAAAGCAGGAGAATTATACTATGTGACTCTATGTGGCTATTAACGCGATATTTGGAACTACAGCGTTTTTTCAAATTACTTATTACATAATACACACTATGAGAAAGTCTCTAAAAAGTAGCAAAAAAGGTAACGAACTCAATCCAATCGGATTATGAAGGTTAAAGAATTCAAATGATAAAATACAAATCATATAGTGCATGTTGCGAAAATTCAATTTCAAACTTTATAAAATTGTAATTTTTTCCTTTTAATGGAAATTGTAAAATGAAAAATTTCAGAAAAGGCAAGACTGGCACTGGCAGTATTAAAACACTTTGAATGTTCTTCTGGTATTGAATGTATCAACATTTTTTACCCCTGTCGTATTGGATTTTCCTTCTTCCTTCCACTCTCCTCTTACTTGACTAATATTGAATATTTAGAAGCTGGACAGGGGCTATCGCCTCCAAAATCCTGTCATTCTTCGGATCCCTTGGAATGAAATCTTCTCTTTAGTGTCTTCAGTCAAGGTTAAAAGAGGCAACTAAGCTAAATCTCAGGTGAGGCTTGAAGTATCGCCTGATATTGAAGGCGCCCGAGGTCGGAATCTTTTTCTAGAAGGTTGATCTCGTATGGAGAAATGTTTTACCAGTGTTCTGTGAGCCACGGACCCGTGTACTGATGATCGGGTGTACCAGCAAGAAATAATAGAATTTCAAACGCCAAAGTATTCATATTCACGTTTAGCATTAACGGCCGTAGGTTTTCTGTTTTGTTTTAAGAAACCTTGAGAATGGCGTCATCTTGTGCGTTATTGAGCACTATAGTTTCTTTTAAATTGGTCTAATTGCAGGTGACTTTTTGGGCACAAGATAAAACTCCCTGTTTCCATTCTAGTTTCATCCAGTGCCCAAAAAGCCAACGGCTAATTCGACCAATTTGACACAAACTATAGTGTTCAATAACGTACAAGGTGACACAATTCTCAATTTTTTTTTAAACAAAAACAAAAAACCTACGGCCGTCAATACTGAACGTGAATATGAATACTTTGGTGTTTGGAGAAATTCTATTATTCCTTGTTGGTATATCCGACCTTCAATAGTATGAATACACAGTTCCGCGGCTTACAGAACACTGAATCGTTCTAAAAATGCTGAAAAATTTCCTATACGGATGATATCAGTACATATATGATGAAATAATAATAACAACTATCCATATACATATTACTTATTACTATATACCTATTACAAATCAGTCACTTTAATTCAGCACCAGTTACTATTACATTTGTGAAAGTAATGACTCTTGACATTTCATAATCCATCAAATGAAATAAAGACTATATATTTTGGATGGTCTTCCATGAGCTGTGCTCTTGATTACGCTTATTTCGCATTTTGAATCCGATGATAAGTGCCGTACATCTGTGCGCCATTGCAAGATTTTCAGGGATGATCCAACGATGAGTGACACTTAGATCGCCCGTACCTGAGATGCCTAATCTGTGAGCTACATGAACAGAAATCACAAATTAGGGTCTCAGGGAGCGGGAAATTAAAGGGAGCGTCCTGTAGTGCTTCAGTGCCCAAGTCGAACCTGGAAAAATAGAACAAATATTTCAGTTTTCTAGCGATCGATTCGCAAAGGATTTACATGTGCATTTCTCTGTATTAAACTTCAATAGACACTTATTTCACTCCAACACATTTTATCGTTGCAACATTTCTACTCTCTGATTTGATTTATATACAAAGGATCAGTTGAGGATTTCTGAGTAAGAACTCTACTCGTTTTCCTTCTGCTTAGGTCCTAAAATTAGCAAACTTTTGAACAGGAAGGGCACAGTCGAATTTCTGTAAAATTTCAAGCATCCTAAGTCAATTTTGCAAACTTGGAATGAGAGTACGTTCCTTTGACCGAAACGATGAGGCGCATACGGAAACCAAAGAAAAAACATCAGATTTAGAGATTTATGTTCCAGATTAATAAACCAAGGTTTTGGTCGGTAATGTACTCGGAACAGATAGCTAACTCACCCTTGCGTCATGGATTTCAAGCCTTGTAAAACTCTTTTTCGGCGAACAGCCAAAGAGGAAAACCAAACTTGTCACTAAACAGTCAAACATTTGGAAAAAATGATTTTTTTCGCAATACATCCATTTATAGTGCAAGTCCTCTCGAAACGACTTTGTCCGTTTCCAAACTCTCTGATAAACTCAAATTCCAAGAATTTTAATGGGAGACTTGAAATCGAAATTTTTCGGAACGTGAGTTTCTGCTTGCAATCGAGTTTTATGCGGGCGCTGTAATTAAAGTTCTTTCGCAACTGCACTTTCTCAATGCTGAACCGGTTGTGGCTGTGTTACACTTGATCCCGTGTCAGTAAAAATCAAAGCTTTTGGTGGATTTGAGAGGTTGGTGACATTCTTTAATTACAAATCCAGATATCGGTGATTAAGAATAAAACTTGTTTGCAAAAAATTGACACCTAGAACTATATTTTCAGCTCTGCAACATCAGTTTTGAATTTCTTACCATCCATTAAACTCACCGCATTTTTAACAGTTTGACTCTTTTTTCTCAGAACTGGAAACACTTTCTAACATTAGACATGACGCGACAACTCTTTTATTGGCGACTGCTACTGTGAATTCTTGTGCCTAAGTCGCGGAGTCTGCAGCTTATTATTTTCAATCATTTATGGTTATTAAAGTCTACAGAAAAAGGGCTTGGTTTACGTACCTTCTTTCTCATCATTTACCAACAACGGTAAATGCCTCAATACAAAATTAAAATGGTGCTTACTGATTTCGATTACCAAGACAGTGCACTCAGATGCCAATATAAACCAATTCCGTTCTTTCACTTCAAAATGATTCATTGGATGTCGCGTTGACGTGACGTGATGAGACGAGGCGCGCTTCTATCTGCTTCTCCGTAAAAATGGACAGAAACTGGTCACTCTGTGGATGGACAAAACATGTGGCGAGCGGCCGTTATGACATCAGTGGGACGCAACATGCATGGTGCACTTACCATTAGCTCCCATCTCTCATGTCTGTAGCTATAGTTTGGTAATGTTTTTACCACATTATATAACTTCAGAATGGACCACTAGACAAGGTACGAATTTCAGCATTCTGATACATGTTTCTTAACCAAAATTTTACGCAGAACATGATGCGCACAACAAAAATTACCAAAATCAACTCCTTACAAAGATATTTAATGATTCTTGAAGCGTGAATTCAAACTACCCGCTCATTAAAACTCAATGCTCTACGTAATTCACATCCCGCACTAAACATTATCATGACAGTCTCTGCGATATAAAAATCTGGCAACCTCAATCTTGAACGCTTTGGCTCAGCTATAGCAAATTGCTGATATTTTGAGCAACACATGGTGGGAAATGAACATTGCTCGATTGAGAAGCTTGCTGAAACCGTTGTAGTGCGCGATTTGACTCACGTAGAGCTTTGAGTTTCTTGTGAGCGGGCAGTTCAAATTCCTCGTAACCAATGTGAAATAAAAACGTTGATACCTTCATTAGGAGTTAGTCTCAGTAATTTCCGTTGTGCAAATCGTGTTCTACGTAAAATTTTGGTCAAGAAACATGTATTAGATTGCTTAAATTCGTACCTTGTCCAGTGGTCCATTATGAAATAATGAGGAACGGGCTCAGAAGCGGATCTAGCAATTTGGCAACACGAGATTTCTTCCATTTAAACCTATGCTAAATAATCGATTCTTGTCAGAGCACCTGGCCCCTCCAAGGATCGATACATTTGCATAGGTTTAAACGGAGAAAAGACAATGTTGCCAGTTTGCTGGACCCGCCAATGAGCGGGCTTAAAATACTCTGGACGTAAAAATTGTGGAATGAAAGAAGTTATTTCCTAAATTTTGCGCATGATATGATTAAAAGATTAAAATTCTTGCAGAGGAAAGATTTTGCTCAAACAGAAATTCACCTACCATGTAGAAAATACATGCATAGTACATCCAGAGTTTAGTCAACGCAAGTTATTGAGTGTAAAAGGAAATTAGTGAGCTCAATATAAATTTCTGTTTAAATGAGGTAATCCGCTCATGAAGTCAACAATTTTTTTGTCAGTATGACCTAATATTTCTGACTTGATTGAAAATTGTATCGATTGCGAATTTTTGTCTGCTTTTTTTTATTCGGTCTTTTTATTGTTTCCCTCCGATGCTTCTCAACTTTAAACGTGAAATAACTGAAAATGCGTGTACTTTACCCTCTTTATCTGAATACGAATTTAAAGAAACCTGAAAATTTGAAACCGCAACTTACATTTACCTCTCGATTTGATCCTTCATTGTTTTGTTAATCAAAACCGTCAATAAGCTGAAATTATTAATTCTCTCTTGTGCAAAAAATAAGCGGGAACTGTGTTTTGTTCTTCATATGATGATCTTTCAATCGTTTCTGGAATGTGTCGGCCTTGTCCTGGAAAAAAGAAATAATACTAAATCAATAGAGTGCCTAAAAGTGATATTCAAGGTACAATAGAATAAAACAATTTTACCTTCCAAAAAATGATTTTATGATCTAAGGAAAAACGCCATTAATTCTATTTTGACGTTAAATTAACTCTTAGAAACCAGTAAATTAACTATCGTAGAAAATAATAAATAGAGCTACTGCATATCCTCCATTAATTTTAGACAAAATTAACTACATCGCCACGTGTATTAAGGTTTACATCTTCCAACAAATGATTTTACGAGACGACCTTCCGAGGTCGACCCATAAGCCAACGCATACTCTGAAAAGACAATAAATATACCGAGCTGTATTATCATTAGAGTAAGACTTGGTCAGACTGCTTGGGTCAAAATATATTCAGTGATGAGGTTTAACTTCATTTGAATCCTCAGCGTTAGTCATCAAAGTTCCGATTTTAAAACAAATATGATGCTTATGTTTTCTTCTCCCGTGTGTGTTTTAGGAAATGGGCACATACCACAGATACGCCTCCTATTTTTCGCTACTATTCGTATACTTGAGTATGGTATGGTATCACTCTCGATTGAAGGAACTTTAAAAGGCCGGGAACGCGCAACTCGCGCCGAGGCCTCAGCAGCGATGAATGCCAAATCGATGATGAAACATACTTATCAATGGCCAAAATGTGAAACCACGTACCTCAATTATGGTGTTTCAAAATTTCCGCTCCGATTCTTTTTTTTAAAGAGGAAAAAGAAAATAGTATGACTCGAAATTTATACAGAATACTCTACGAACACAGAGAGGAAAAATTCAAGAAATTTTCAGGATAGAACGTTGACTAGTTTTCCAAAGAAAAAATGAAGTATAGCAGGAAGCCTTGCAATATCGGAAACAGAGATGTATGGTTTCGCACTTAGGCTATCGATATCTTGGTTTGCAATGTTGCAAATTTGCCGTCACATTTTAATTAATGGAAAAAATCAATTATTTGTAATTCGTGAAATCTCGCATAATGATAATGGTATTTACTAATCATGGGTTATGTTTTTATTTTAATCATTTTAATAAACCTCAACGCATGATTCAAACATTTTTGAGATGAATTGTTAAACTTTAAATATACATTTCTGTACTTTGCTCTAATAGTTCGAGATTTCAACTGACAACGAAAAACGACAGAGACTGAAGAATTACATGGCTTTTTGAGAGCACGGTTTTGTAGTGATTTTTTTTCACTTATGAACTGCCGTCTTACAAAGTGCATCGTTATACTGGGGAGACAATCTACCTCTAAGAACAATTCAAATTTTGCGGTGTAGACTAAATTTCCCTCGAGTCTCAAACGCGTTTTCCCGGAAGTTCAGGTCGCTCAACGGAACAGACAGTCTCACTCTTCAGCGCATCATCCGACTGGTTCATATTTCGCCTAATCATCGAGTTCATCGACAAGACTCGGAGTTTTTCTTGAATAATTCACGGTAGAAGTTTATGCGGCTGCGTAATCAAAACTCCTTGTTTTGACCCGTGGTAACGTGCCTTGCGATATATCGATTGATCTGCCATTTAAACCTACGGGAAAGGATCGATACACGGGGTGTTCGCAAAAACGCCTTACTAATCGATTGTTTACCACGGGTTCGAATAGAAAGATATCGATTATCGGTCATTCACGCCTCTCCGCTGGCTTTGATTCATCCTCCGTCCAGTTTTTTCTGTTTATTAAAAGGAGTCAAATATGTCGAATCAACGATTTATCCTTTCATCCTGTCCGCACTTTGAAACCGCAAGATATTACCGCGGATTCCAAAACTATCAGAAAATAACTTCAGAAACCCACATTTTCAATGAAATGGATAAGTTTCGTGTAAAATTTAAACGTACATATGGAAAATTATTTTTGCTTGAGAAGAGTTGATGCCATATATCTGCGTGACAGGCATTATTGAGAGGGTTTTTCCCCAGCTAACGTGGTGATTTATAATATTTTCACTTTCAGAATGAGTGAAACGCTCAATGCATGAGATTGATAGACAGGTGAAAAAGAGTAAAAGTGGAGATGGTGAAATTTTATGATTCAGGTGTTTAGTTTTTGGTCCAATAAAGTGAGTATACATTACCATGGTTTTAAAACGTTCTACATTTTTTGAGCATATTCACAGGAATTTATCGATTATTTCTGGGGACATATGATTCTGTTAATTTTTTGTCCCAGACCTATTTTTAGGTAGGCCGAGATTTTTGTTCGCTTTCCGCGTTCTTTAATTATGTATGTTCCCTCAGTCTAGGTAGGACAATCACAAATGTAAATTGAAAACATATGACGCTGTAATTTACAATACATACTCTGGGTTCGAATTTATTAGATATTAATTGACTTGAAGAGTCCACGAGCCGAAAGAAGGAAATAGATATGAGCTGAAATGTGGACTTAAAAAATCCTATCCTTTGTTTCACCTTACTTTTTTACGGTTTTCGGGGCCAGATAGTTTTCGTTCCAATTTATTTCGGTGTCAATTTCGACACTAATCACGCTTGACATTGTTCACCGTAGCTATTAACTAGGGAGGTGTAAGTTTACTGATCGACGCGTTCTTTACCACGCCACGGCTGGTACCTGCCACTCCTGCAGAAATTTGATCAGTTATTCAGATGCTCAGTTATTTAAGTATCTGACGGCACGATTGCCGCTTTTATAGGGATTTTTAAAAGGCTTACAATTATTTTGAGTAGTTTCTTGAGCATGCATATTATAATTTTCCTGATTAACTTTTCACAAGAAAAAGATAAGACGACTGGAATCAATGTGAAAGTGCGACTCAATGTAGTAAGCATTCTTTGTTAAAGACAAAACATTCAAGATTTCGCATTAATTTCCCACAATGTAAAAATTAACTCTTTTCTAATCATATGTCTGTGGTGGGATTTTCATTTGCCTACCTTAAAAATAAAATATGTGTGTTGCTATTTAGCCAACACTTTACTACTCTCGCGCAAAATCGATTATTAGGCGACTTTCTCGTGGAAAAATTATCGGTCATAAAAATCTTTCATTTTAACGAAGAGACACTATTAGCCGATGAACAGAGCTCATAAGGGTGGGCGGAGAAAAGTTCTCAAAATTTGAGAGTTGGAGGTTTAAGGATATCTGTTCATGCTATATACGTAAGATACTTTTATTCAACTGCTAGGGACTTCAACGAGGGGACAGGAATGAAGAATGCTCCAAAAACACACTGGTATAGTTATTTATAAAGGGGTCCTATTTTTTTATCATTCCAATTCAACCATAAGCCAATCAATAATTTTAATTTGATCTAACTACGAAGAACGAAATGGGCAATTTTAACACCATAATGACAAAAAATTAGTAATGAAGGAAGAAATCCAAGTGACAAACCTAACATGCAGTATACTAACAAAATTGCTCGCCAACAGCTTGTTGACAGCCGCACATAAAGATACCATGTAAGGAGTCATATCGACAGTGAAACCCATAAACCACGTATCTCGTTTTTGGTACTTTAAAACTTCCCACTTTATTTTACTAAAGGCGAAAAAATCAACATTCCTTGAAATTTTCACAGAATGTTCGTCACACATCGAGAAAAAATCATGGTAGTTTCTTAGAATTGTTGTTGAGTGGTTTTACATTTAAAAAATAAAATATGACAGTAAGTCTGCGGAGATACGTGTATTAGGAATTTCACCGTCGATATTTTAATCTATTGCTGTTTTCTTTAAAAAAAGTTTCATATACTCATGTATTCTATGACATTTTTAAAGAAGAGAAAAATGATTTTTAAGTAAACTGAAGAAAATGTTTCTTATCTGAATTCCACGATAGCAGGAAAAAAAGAGACTCAAAATGTAATTTTACCGATATGTGTCGATGGTGACTGTTAACCTCTTGTAGTTCTCCTTCATATTTACCCTGAATTCACTTTTTTTTAAAAAAAAACGGTCGAATTGTACCTGAATGACGCGGAAAAAACCTGCAAGGGAGCAAAGCGAGAGGCCTGAATTCGAAAGGATGAGTTCTCGCCGAACCATTTCACTTACTGATCAACTGCAGAGAATAAGATTTCTCTGATTACTGCTGATGATAAGTCACGCCATTTGTCATCCACCTCCTTTAATGCCGTGCTAAGGGAAAACGCCGTATGAGCATTTAGGCGTCGCCAAATTGATAAATCACGAATTTTCGGGAATAAGTATTTATCCACATTTTTCCTCCAATTTTTCAGAGACTTGCAGTCGTAATTTGGACGTATTTATGCTAAAAGGAACTATGTTGCACGCAAACCCCATGCACATAGTTCCTCTTAGCATAAATATGTCCATTTGATCTAAATAGTCTGGAAATTTCAAAGGAAAATATTCATACATTTTGACCAGAGGCGGATTCAGGAATTTGGCAACACCGAATCTCCTTCATTGAAGCCCGTGCAAATAATCGATTCTTGTCAGAGCACTTGGCCCCTACAAGAATCGATACATTTCTATAGATTTAAATGAGGAAAAAACGATGTTGCCAATTTGCTGGCTCCGCTAGGTAATGTAAATTTCTTCAAAAATAAATATTTTTGGAGAGGAAATTTGGCATCATCAGAATGCTCATACGGCGTTTTTCCTTAACACAGCAGTTTAATCGTTCTGCTATTATCAATTTGCCGTTATATACTATTGCCGGCGGTATAAACAACCTACATAACGCTTTTTTTAAACAGCTTGCAATATTATTTATGATGAAGATTATGACTAAACATTTTGACCCGATTCTCTTGAGAGGATTAGAAAGTGTCTAGCATCGAAAACTGTAAATCGATGTTTCTGATGTAGATTTTCGGTTCCTGCCTAACTTTATATCATAAATATTTCTATCCTACTGTTTCTATTAAGTTTTCACCACAAAATAAAGTGGCGTTATTGTGCCGTACCCATCCCATATCTTCGATATGAGGACACTGATATATCGGTTGGACGTAAAATTGTATACC